AGTTTGGTTTAGTTTGTTTCAGTTTAGTTTGGTTTAGTTTGTTTCAGTTTGTTTGTTTTAGTTTAGTTTGGTTTAGTTTAGTTTGTTTTAGTTTAGTTTGTTTTAGTTTAGTTTAGTTTAGTTTGGTTTGTTTTAGTTTAGTTTGGTTTAGTTTGTTTTAGTTTAGTTTGGTTTAGTTTTGCTGCCGCTGCACAGATTCAGTTTCACCAGCTTTAAAAAAGGTCACAGAACTAAATCAGGTTTTCCATATTTTTCCCAAATGTTTCTTCTCGTCTTCTCGGTTTGGTCAGAAGCTGCTGAGCGCGTGCAGCTCCGATCTATTCCCCGTGACCCCTGACCCCGCTGCTGATGCAGCTGAAATGGGACTCCGTGTTTCCACCAGAACAAAAGGCGCCACGCTGCGCGGCACAAACAGCTCCAGGACAAAGCGGGCCGTGTTTCCAGAACTCCGTCTCCCCATAAATCCCGGAGGCGAGCCGCCGTGGGGGGTTTGATCGCGGGAGCCGCCAAGCGCCATGCCTCTGCCCCGACGCCACTCCTCCTTCCTGGGACAGTCGTCCTCCGAGCACCCGGCCGCCGCCTCCGGTTGTAGGACGAGCGCGGCGGGTGCAACGATGCCCCGCGGCGTGCCGGTGGGGTCGGGAGCCGCCTGCGCCCTGGGGACGCGCGTTTCCCGCCGGGCTCTGGGCATTAGCAGCGTGTTCCTGCAAGGGATGAGGAGCTGTGCCGCGCCGGTGCTGCCCCGGGCCGCGGGCGGCGGCGCCACGGGCCTGAACAGCTGCCTGATGGAGTACCGGGACAAAGTCCGGGCGCTGGAGGAGCTGAACCGGCAGCTGGAGCAGCAGATCCGCCTCAGCCTGGACCGCAAGGCGGCCGGCGCCGGGGCCTGGGGGCCGCTGCGCAGGGAGTGGGAGGATATCTACCGGCAGGTAGGGGGCTGAGGCCGGGGTCAGGGGTGAGGCCGGGGTCAAGATCCTAAACTGTGACGTCCCACATGCTGCAGGTCAGTGAAGCCATCCTGGAAAACGCTCGGCTGATGCTGCAGACGGAGAACGTTCAGGCCAACGCAGAAGACTTTAAAGAAAGGTCAGAACCCGAACAGAACCTGAGTAGAACCTGAACAGAACCTGAGTAGAACCTGAACAGAACCAGAACAGAACCTGAGTAGAACCTGAACAGAACCAGAACAGAACCTGAACAGAACCTGAGTAGAACCTGAACAGAACCAGAACAGAACCTGAACAGAACCTGAGTAGAACCAGAACAGAACCTGAGTAGAACCTGAACAGAACCAGAACAGAACCTGAACAGAACCAGAACAGAACCTGAGTAGAACCTGAACAGAACCTGAGTAGAACCAGAACAGAACCAGAACAGAACCTGAGTAGAAGCTGAACAGAACCAGAACAGAACCTGAACAGAACCAGAACAGAACCTGAGTAGAACCTGAACAGAACCAGAACAGAACCTGAACAGAACCAGAACAGAACCTGAGTAGAACCAGAACAGAACCTGAACAGAACCAGAACAGAACCTGAACAGAACCAGAACAGAACCTGAGTAGAACCAGAACAGAACCTGAGTAGAACCAGAACAGAACACTGGCTGTGATTCCAGTGTTCTGCTCAGAAATAATGTTGATATTTTAGTTTGTTGCCATGGAAGAACCTCAGTGAGTCTCTGGTTCTGATTGGACCAATTCAAACGTTCATTAAGTCACCAAACATGATCAGCAGTTGCTGCTAATCAAAGCAACTTTGATTTCAGGATCTCATGTTTCAGGAACTTTGAACCGTTTCACACATTTTTCAGACACGAACTAAACTAAACTAAACTAAACTAAACTAACTAAACTAAACTAAACTAAACTAACGGCTGAGATTCATCCAGACTGGTTTTATATCAGGTTGGATTTCTGCTGGTGACCCGGTTCATCAACCGGATCATTGAAACACGGACTTTCTGAAAGAACCTTGTGGGTCGGAGATCCAGGCAGCAGAAAGAGGAAATGGTTTGATTTTTAATTTCTTCTAGGCTTTTATAGTTAAGTTGTTAAATTGGCTGCAGCATTTAGTTAAATTTAGATTAAAATCCAATGAAGGTTTTATGATTTCTGTGTTAATAGCTGCAGATCAACCCATGATGATGATGATGATGATGGCAGTGTGTGCGTGTTTCTCTGCGCGCGTGTGTGTGTGTGTGTGCGTGTTTCTCTGCGTGTGTGTGTGTGTGTGTGTGCAGGCTGGACAGCGAGGCGTCCCTCAGGGCGGCGGTGGAGGACGAGGTCTGCTCTCTCCGCCGGGTGATGGAGGAGGCGGCCGTGACGAAGGCGGAGCTGGAGGAACAGATGGAGAGCATGAGTGCGGAGCTGCGGCACCTTGAGAGCCGCCATGAGCAGGTTCTGCTGGATCCCGATCGGAACCACAACCGGCAGTGGGCCTCTGGTGACCGGACTGTCCCTGTCCCCGCAGGACGTCCGCGCCCTGTACAGCCGGACCGCCGGGCTGGACGTGGACGAACCCGACGCTCCCGTGGAAACTGGTCTGGACCGGATCCTGGCCCACATCCGGACCCACTGGGAGCAGCTGACGGAGCGGAACCGGGCCGACACCGACGGCTACCTGGAGTCCAAGGTGAGGCCGGGTCAGAGGACCGGCCGGACCGGCCGTCCCCTCCGTCCCCTGACCCCGTCCTGTCCGTCCTGCAGGAGGCGCCGTGCGCGGCCAGCCGTCTGAGTGCGGAGGAGCAGCGGGCGGAGGCCCTGAAGGCGGAGTGCGGCGACGTGAGCTGCAGGATCCAGAGTCTGCAGGCTGAGACAGAGTCCATCAGGGCGCTGGTGAGACCAGCGGCGTCACGTCCAGGGTCGCCCAGAACCCGACTTATTGACCTTCTGACCTCTGGTCCTGTAGAAACGAGGCCTGGAGAACTCGCTGAGCGACGCCCGCCACTGGCACGACGTGGAGCTGCAGAACCTGGGCTCCGTGGCGGCGCGGCTGGAGGCGGAGCTTAGCGACGTGCGGAGCGAGATCGAGCAGCAGCGCCGCGACTTCGACATGTTGCTAAGCAACCGGCAGCGGCTGGAACAACAGATCAGCCTGTACCACGGCGTCCTGGACGGAGAGGAGGCCCGCTTCCTGCCCAGCAACACGCCGCCGTGAGTCCTTTCAAAATATCATTTTAATTATTTCTAAATCATTAAAAAATCTATTATTTGAATGTCTTTCTTAGACAGGAACCCAGTTCCTCCATCATCATCATCATCATCATCATCGTCACAGTTCTGATGAATATAGCTGATTCTCCTGACTCATCAAATCTTGAGTCTGAAAAGAAGCGTAGAAATGGAGTTCAGCCATTAAATCTGCTGCCTTTGGTGAAGCATGAGCCTCTTTTCACCCACTAAAAGTCACATGACGTCATGTGACGTCATGTGACGTCACATGACCGGCTGCGTGTCGCGTCCGCACTGGACCGGGACTCCTGGCCAACATGGAGTCCAGCCTGATACTCAAGTTTAACCAGTTTTGGCTGTAGGAGCAACATGTAGCAGCAACATATAGCAGCAACATGTAGCAGCAACATGTAGCAGCAACATGTAGCAGCAACATATAGCAGCAACATATAGCAGCAACATGTAGCAGCAACATGTAGCAGCAACATATAGCAGCAACATGTAGCAGCAACATATAGCAGCAACATGTAGCAGCAACATGTAGCAGCAACATGTAGCAGCAACATATAGCAGCAACATGTAGCAGCAACATGTAGCAGCAACATATAGCAGCAACATGTAGCAGCAACATGTAGCAGCAACATATAGCAGCAACATGTAGCAGCAACATGTAGCAGCAACATGTAGCAGCAACATGTAGCAGCAACATATAGCAGCAACATGTAGCAGCAACATGTAGCAGCAACATGTAGCAGCAACATGTAGCAGCAACATATAGCAGCAACATGTAGCAGCAACATATAGCAGCAACATGTAGCAGCAACATATAGCAGCAACATGTAGCAGCAACATATAGCAGCAACATGTAGCAGCAACATGTAGCAGCAACATATAGCAGCAACATGTAGCAGCAACATATAGCAGCAACATGTAGCAGCAACATATAGCAGCAACATGTAGCAGCAACATGTAGCAGCAACATATAGCAGCAACATGTAGCAGCAACATGTAGCAGCAACATGTAGCAGCAACATATAGCAGCAACATATAGCAGCAACATGTAGCAACAGGATGTAATAGTGGGAGTTCAGTTCGTTTGAACAATCTGATTGGTCAGGATTTGTATGGCTGACCTGTTGGCTCCGCCCACCAAATGAAACCCATTCTGACGGCATTGCAGCTCAGAAAGGCTCCGCCTTCCTCAGTCACAGGACAGGAAACTGTAACTAACAGTATCTCACCTGTACAGGTGTTGTGCTGAAGCATCCCCTGAGGCTCCGCCCCCTGCAGAACCTTCTGGACCGGCCGGCCCCCAGGCCCAGTGAAGAGTCCGGTTCCCGGGTCGTTAAGGAGCCTCTGTCCGCCATCAGAACCACCCGGTTTGACCAGAACAACACGTACAACATGTAGGACGAGCAGAACCGCTGGAGACCAACACGGACCCGGTTCTGATCGGGTCCAGGTGGGACTGATCCGACACGGTTGGGCTGAAATGCAGTGCGAGTGTGATGAGTCCGAAGACCGATTTGGACCTTATACTTCTGGTTCTGCTCCAGACTGGACTCCTCATGTTCTGGACTCCATTTCCTGTTTGTCGTTTTCAAAATAAAAGTGACTGAAGGTGAATCTGATGTGTTCAGGTGCCTTTCTGAGAGTCCGAAAACATGAAATCAGCTGTTCTGGTTCTGATAAACCCAGTTCAACAGAACCCGGTCTCCTTCCCAATTACTGATCAGACATCACCATGGTAACGGAGAGGATAACCTGGATCAGCAGAAATCAATAACATTTGATCGATCAGGAATCAGTAACTGATCATCCAGACGTCTTCAGAAGGAATAAAGTGCTTTAATATTGAGATCAATCGATCAATCGATCGATTGATCGATGCGTCACCATGACGAATTCAGCTGGACGATAAATTTTGAGACCATAATAACATCAAAGCTTAAAAACCGTTTAATAACCAAAATAAAGAAAAAACAAAAATGGATCAAGAGTGAATGTTTCAGTCATGATTCACCAGCAGCAGGGAGATCTGAGCATCGCTGCAATTCAATGTTCTGAAAATCTGAAATGGTATTTAATGAAAAGCAGGAGGCTCACAAACAAACGTCTGGAAATGTTTCAGTTCAATAAAGTTTCACTAAAGTCGTTTTCATTTTCTAGGCGTCGATGCATCAAAGTTTATCTTACTGTATTAAAGCTGGTCGTGTGATGTTGGTATGATGTCACAGACAAAGTGGACTGAACACGTTTATCCTGAATAAATTATTTATATTAAATTATCGGAACAACACGGCCGCGCACTGAGCTGTGCACGCGCTGCTAAACCAGCGTCTGTCACCTGGAAACGTCCTGGAAGCACCTGACCAGGTGCTGATGATGTCACCTCCACCATCTGATGTGCCTGAAGCTCCGCCTCCTCCGTCTGTGGGCTCAGTGACTCCACCCTGCAGGTCATGAAGCCCCGCCCCTCCAGGTGCTGTTGCTACAGCTAGCAGCTCTATGGGATTCCCTCTGACCAATCAGAAGCCGGTAATTAATCGTAGCAGCTGCTGCAGGCTCTAGAGTTTTTCCCAGAATGCCGAAGGAGGCGAGCCTCTCCGTCCTACTGAGAAGCTCTGGTCAGCGCCGGAGGCCCCGCCCCCTCTTAGGCGGGTTGCAGCAGGACGCAGCCGACGCCGACGCCGCCCTCGTGACACGCCATGGGCGCCATGAACATCCAGCGGTTGGTGTCGGGGTTCAGCATCTCCACCGAGCTCAGGTTGGACTGGCCGTCGTAGCCGCCCACGGCGTACAGCCGGCCCGCCGTCGACACCAGCGACACCCGGCTGCGCCGCGTGTTCATGGCCACCAGGAGGCTCCACTGGCCCGACACGCCGGACAGCACCTCCACGCCGCTCAGGAAGCCGGAGCCGTCATAGCCTCCGGCGACGTACATGTGGCTGCCGAGCGCGGCGGCGCCGTGACGGCAGCGCTTGTTGAGCATGGCCGGCGCCGGGTGCCAGCGGTCCGTGTGGTGGTTGTAGTACTCCACCTGCAGGGGGAGGAGTCACACAGGTGAGGTGAGCCCAGCAGACGGCGAACGGCGGCGGAGCGGCACTGACCGTGTTGAAGATTTGCAGGCCGTCATGGCCGCCCGACACGAAGATCCGCCCGTCGAACACGGTGACGCCGGTGGCGCTGCGACTCGCTCATCTCCGTCACCACGCTCCACCTGAGGAGGAAACACGGTGAGTCACATGACAGGAAGTCGCTACGCTGGGCGGTACGGACGCCCCCTGCTGTCTGAGCAGCAGATAGGTGGGAGATCAGGTCAGCAAGACTCACCTGAACTCAGGTAAGAGAGAGAGACCATCATCTTCATCATCTTCCTCACAGACCGCCCACCAAGAAGAACTCACCTGTCGGTTTCTGGAGAGTAACACTCCACAGAGTTCAGAGAGGACTTCCCGTCGTATCCGCCGCAGACGTAGATATGGCCGTCGATGACCACGGTTCCCATGGCGCTGAGGAAGGCGGCGTCGGGTTATCGATCGGGTTACTGATCGGTCGTTCCGATCAATAGGGCGCCACTGACCTGCGCTGGCTGTTCATGCTGGACACCTGAGTCCAGCCGTCCGTCTCCGGGTTGTACACCTCCACCGTGCTGAGCCGCGATTGGCCGTCGTATCCGCCGATGGCGTACAGCAGGCCGTTGACGACAGCCACGCCCACTCGACTGCGGGCCGTCCTCATTGGCTGGCAGCGCTCCCAGAAGTTCCCCACCGGGTCAAACACCTCCACCAGGTTCAAGGAGTCACCTGACCAGGGAGAGGACACTCAGCTCCACCTGGACTCTGCAGCGCCAGCTCAGGTGAGAGAGGCGGAGCTACCTGAGCTGTTGAGGCCGCCCACGGCGTAGATGAGCCCCGAGACGGAGGTGCAGCACCGCGGCCGCGTCTTAAAGGAGGGCAGGTGAGGGCGGCGCTCCAGGACCAGGTGGAAGTCTTTGGCCTCATCCACCAGGTCCCTGATGGGAGATCAACACTGATCAATAGACAATCAATAAAGTGATAACAGCACCCGATCAGAACCTGACTGTTGCGAGTCCAGATCTCCTGCACCGTCTTGGTGCCTCAGGTACGCTGCGCCTCACCTGCACCTGTGGCAGCAGCGAATCAGCTCGTCCTGCTGGACGCGGTCGGACAGGAAGCGCGGCTGGCAGAGAGGAAGTCGGATCTTGGCCAGCAGCTCTGGCAGCAGAGTCTTCCTCTGGTCCCGGTTGTGGTGGACCCAAGCCAGCGCCGCCCTCGAACACCTGCACAGGTAAGGCGGGACGGTGAGCGAGCCACGGCGGCGGTGAGCAAGGGAGCGAGCGGCGCCGCCTCACCTGCTCCTCGGCCTTGACGTTGAGCTCGTCGCAGCCCATCAGCTCCAGAACCTCCTCGGCCCGCAGCGCCAGGAACTCCTCGGACAGCGCCGCCTCCACAAAGTGGCGCTGCAGGAAGCCGTTGGCCGCGTCGTACAGCGCCGTGCACATCATGGCCTCCGCGAACTGACGCACGCCCAGGCAGTTCTTGGGGTGCAGCCTGGAACAAGAAGGGACCGGTCGCCACGCAGACGTCAGCTGACGTGGCGGCTGACGTGGCGCCGTCGTACGGAGCGCGTGCGGAGGAGCTCACCTCTCCTGCAGGAAGGAGCAGCAGGCGTCCTTCACGTTCTGCAGCTGCAGGAAGCTGGAGCCAATCAGCAGCGCCTGGACGTTCTGCTGGTCGATGGCGACGCGGCCGCCTGTAGGCGAAGTTAATGAGAGCCTCCAGGGCGCTGCGCACAGACAGCTACTGGTCAGACTCAGACTCGTACTTTATTGATCCCTTGGGAAGACTCCCTCAGGAAATTGAAGTTACCAGCAGCTTACAGGCAGAAAAGTGGCACACAGTGCGCAAAATACTAAAGAATACAACAAATACAAATTAAAGACACTAAATGTGAGTAGCCAAAACCCTAAATTAAGCAAAATAAGCAAGGAATAAGAATATAGGTAAAATATAAATAAAAAATATATAAATACAACACAAGAGAAAATATAGAAATTTGGCGGATAGACTGGGAACGGACCGAATGCGAACCTGGTCCTCCTGGTTCGTACCTGGGTCCATGCCCTGCATCAGGATCTCGTCCTGCTTGCGCTCCACCATGTCGTGGGTGAACATGGCGTGGAAATACGGGATGGAGGCGGCCAGGACGATCCGGTGAGCGCTGAACTTATGTTCCGACCTGCAGACACGAGCCGGGTCAGAACCAGAACCATCGCACCTCCAGCTCCATTAACAGCTGTGATCTGATCGATGAAAGCTCATTAGTTGCTATGCAACAGGTCAGGTAATCCACTTCCTGTGTACTGACAGGTGTAATCACGTGACCTGTCACCTAAAATCGATACCAGCCCTATCAGCTGTTTGTCAATGGTCTGTCTTGTTAGCTAGTTAGCATCCAGTTAGCATTCCAGTAGCTCGTGAGCTAACCGCTAGCCTCGCGCGCCTCGCTTCTTACCTTCAGAGTGACGTCACACAGCTTGCCTTGACGTCGGATCTCCTCCATCACGACATAGCCTCTCGCGGGCAGGTCTGGGACGGAGAAGTGAACCAGGTCCTCGAGTTCTTCGCACACGGAGTCTCCCATGATGACCTGGAGGCGGACCGAGTCCTGCGAGCCGCCGTACGCACACTTCCGGCGTAGCGGGGCAAGACGTCAAAATAAAAGCTCGGAGCCAGTCTGGCCCGTTTCTACCGCTGAAATGTTCTGCTCGGTTCTGGAGGTTCGGTTTATCTGGACTTTAGTTCCGAATTTGCAGCTCAGAACAAATATTTATATTCTGGTGTTGGGTCCGGTTCTGGTGTTCGGCTTTCTGAAGATCCGAACCGTGAAAACTTCTCCCAGCCGAGAGCGACACCTGCTGACCTGAAGGCGACACTGCAGCCTCGCCTTCCTGCTGATCCGGACGGGTTCTAGTCCGGACGGGTTCCGATCAGGACCGTTCCAGTCTGGTTCGGTTCTCGTCTGGACGGGTTTTAACCAGGACTGGTTCCGGTCTGGACAAAACCGCAGGAAGGCTGAGCAGAACCAAATGATCTGGTTCTTCTGGGTCGAGCTTCTCCAAAGCAATCCAGATATTAACAGAGATCAGATCCAGATGGGCTCGGTTCTGACCCAAGACTTCTAACGTTCCTGTTCTCAGTCAGGTTCTGGTCCTCACCTGGTTCTGGTAATGCCGGGTCAGCAGGTCTCGCAAGGCCCGATTGTTTCTGACTGGTCGAGAAACACTGAGGCCATGTGGAACTTCATGGACCAGCAGCAGAACCTGTTCTGGAAGAATCGGATCAGAACCCCATCTGGGTTTGGACCTTTTCCTGAGGCTGAGCTCAGTTCAGCACCATCTGCTGATGGTGAACAGAACCTTTCCAGAACCGGTAAAGGCGAGCACCCGGATCAGAACTTTGTGGAAGCCCCAACGTTCACCCGGTCCTGCAGAACATGATCCGGACGGGTTCCAGGTCTGGTTCTGGAGTGATTTTATTTATTAATTTTATTCCAAGAGGAGAACCAGAACCAGCCGGTCCAGAACCGATTTGAGACGTCGGTGGATCCGGACAGACCCCGGGTTGTCATGACGAGGCAGGTTTCCCGTCGGGAGTGTTTGGACCGGGTCGACCCGGGCCGGTGGACCGGGTCTGAGCGGACCGGGTCCGGTGGATCCGGTCCGCTCAGCCAATCAGAGAGCAGCTTCACAACCTTTAAACAGCTGGAAAACATTTATTCATTTGGACCCGGCCCAGTTCTGTTCAGTTCTGAGAATTTGTGTCGGGAACGTTCAGGATCGTCTGTCCAGGAGAACCGAAGTCGGTTCCGGTCCAAACCCAGTCACAGCAGTCCCGTCCGAACCAGAACCACTCGCTCTTCCCCGATCCGGATGGAGTCAGTTTCGGTCCAGATCCGGACCGGCAGAACGTTCGGTTCTGACAGGAAGCCCGGCTCGGCTCGGCGTGACGCAACCTGCAGGAGAAGAAGGGTTTCCATGGATACGGGCGGGTCTTACGCCGACAGGTCGCTGGCGTCGAAGCGGTCCTGGTCGTAGACCTCAGCGGCCACCTTGCGGCCCCCGAACCAGCGGTTGTTGAGCGCCTGGATGGCACGGTTCCGGTGCGCCGCCTCCGAGAACTCCACGAAGATCTTGACGATGACGTCGGCGTCGTCCTCCTCGCCCTGCCGCTCCTGGTAGATGATGACGCCGCACCTGGCCGAACTTCCCGCACTCCTCCGTCACTTCGCCCTCCAGGTCGTCGTCGATGTCCTCGGGGCCCACCATGTTCCTCAGCACCATGACGGTGGACTGGGGGCAGAGGGCAGAGGTCAGAGGTCGGGGCCGAGGCCCGGTTCACATCGGGTCGGGCTCACCTCCTGCTTGCGGAGCAGCTTCCTCATCACCATGTGGCGAGCGCTGCTGCCGCTGATGCTCATGTGCTCTTGCTCGCTGAGCGGCTCCGACGCCGCCTCCTGCTGCACCTCCAGCTGAGACTCCGCCTTCCTCCGGGGCTCCGAGCCCGACGGAGGCGTAGCCAAAACCGGGTTCACCAGTCCCACCTGGGGCAGGCCGACGCGCGCCGGGGTCACACCTGGAAGGGCAGCCGGCGGTCAGCGATAGAGGAAGAAGGGAGGACCGGGAGCACCGGCGGCGCCCGCTCACCTGTGATCACTCCTGGCGCCTGGGCGGCCATGACAGCCTGCGGGAGTCCCAGCTGCTGGGAGAGGAGCGTCGGGCCGGCCAAAGGTCCGAGCAGCGAAGCTCCGACCGGATCCTGACGAACCAGAGAGAGACTGAGGCAGTAGGAACGCCACCCGGCCACGCCCACCCAGCCACGCCCACCTGGCTAACCCACCCAGCCACGCCCACCTGGCTACCCCACCCAGCCACGCCCACCCGGCCACGCCCACCCAGCCACGCCCACCTGGCTACCCCACCCGGCCACATTATAGCTATTCCTGTAGCTCTAGCTTCATAGCTATAATGCGGGTTCAGCCCTGCTAGGAAGGCTCACCCAGATTTAGTGGAAAGTTTGAACATTTTTAACATGGACTTAGATTATCACAGAGCCTACCTTAGAAATAAAACATGAAGTAAATATATTGCATGGTTTAACATTCACCAGTTTACACAAATGGCAATGACTGTTATTAATATGGAATTCCTTCATTCTGTCAAAAGTAAGATGGCTCCCAAATCTCCCACTTTTGTTTTGAAGGTTTCCTGAAGGCCAGATGGAAATGAGGAGAGACGGATTCACAGCTGAATCTCTGAATCTGGGGCGGATCTCCTGGGGGCTGGCGACTATGAATTCAATAAATAGTTATGGGAAATTGGACATTAAGCGCATGAATCTCTTTTCTCCAAGAACATTGAATGCAGCACAATGTCCCCCAACACCTTCTGCCAGATCTAGATTGTTTTCTAGATCTGGCCCTCTCTGGATCTAGAACTCCTCATCTAGAAGACATGAAAAATAATCCATGTGCATCTAAATATATGTATATTATTTAGTATTAATTAGAGGTGTGCTGATCAATCAAAATTGGCCGATCATACATTGATCAGAATCACTGATCAATGTCTCTATTGCCGATTGCCTGTCTCATTTCTTGGCCTGCGTGTTAGGGTCGGGGTCAGGGTCAGGGTTGGGGGTCAGGGTTGGGGTCGGGGTCAGGGTCGGGGTCGGGGTCAGGGTCAGGGTTAGGGTCGGGGTCAGGGTCAGGGTTGGGGGTCAGGGTTGGGGTTAGGGTAAACAAGCAGTTGACAGAGTTTGTCTCCATCGAGGCTCAACACAGAAAAAAAGCCAACAGGTAGAGCAGCATCACTGTCAGAAAGCTAAAGAAATGACCCAAAAACTCATTTAAATCAACAAGCTGGCGGTGAAAGACGCTGGTTCTGGTCCGACTGGACCGCCGCTACCGGTAGTAATATTTCATCGACCACCGGCGGTGAACTCTCACACCAAACAGCTGCTTAAAGCTGCAGCATGCAACTGAAACAGGAAATATTTTGTATTTGTAATGAAACTTTTGCTATGTCCGAACGTAAGACGGATAATCAATAATCAATCTCTTCTGCCTCCTCCTGCATTCAGCTCAGTCAGAACCAACCAATCAGAACAAAACAGCCATGTTCTCAGGAAGTTTGGATTTAGTAACTCAGGATTGTTTATTGATGCAACCTGTTGAACATTGAATGAATGTTTCTTCTTGTACTCAACATTATTTGATATAGGCAGTGTTATGAGATTTATTTGACTTATGTATAAGAGCCTTCCTGTTTCATATCATCTTACTGATTGCAGGTTTTTCAGTTGTCCTTTGGACTGAGTAGATGCTGTAGTGTTTTGTATGTTTTATGTCTAAATTAGGTGAATCTATTGCCAGATAATTTTTCCATTTTGGAAGACCACATATTGCCATTTATTCCTAATGCCAAACATTGACAGCCAGTCCAGGTGATCGGCAGATTGGCCTCATGGGGGTCGGTGTCGGAATCGGCAGCAACAAACCTAACTAGTAGTGGCGCCCCCTGGAGGAGGCCTGAACGGCGAAGCAGCAGAAAATGCTGGGATATAAACAACCGCTATCGTTTTGTCTTAATTTTTTTTTTAGTTGGATATTCTTTAAAAACGGAACATTCATAATAAGCTACACAGACATTTTGAGCATTTATACCTCAATGGTTTGACATGAGATGTCAGTTCTCCTGTCATGCTTGAACATTTCAAACATTCCTTTGAATGTTGTAAAATGTTCTTCAGATTTCCCTGGACAGAATCAGATTGACGAGAATAAATTGTTTTAGATCGTCATATTCATCAGCATCAAAATATTCACGGTGAATTTCCCCCATAAGGCTTGGCTGTGCCCGAACCCGCTAGCCTGACCCTGACCCTGTCCCTGACCTTGTCCCTGACCCTGTCCCTGACCTTGTCCCTGACCTTGTCCCTCCATGATGTACCTGAGCTGTAATCTTGGCGCTGGCAGCAGCAGCAGCCACAGCGGCCGCCGCAGGAAGTCCTCCAGCAGTGGTGGGGGTGAGAAGAGGCATGGGCGGAGTCACGGCCTTCCCCACCCTAAGGTACTGCCCCCCCAGGTCGAACAGGTTCATGGAGGCCACGGCGTCCTGGGCCGACTGAGGCTTATCGTACTCTGGACACACAGAGGACAAGCTGATTTCACAGAGCTCGCCGCATCACGTCCCAGAGGACCAGAGCGGACCTGACACCCGGCCGGCCTCACCGATGAAGCCGTAGCCTTTGTGGCGCCCGGTGGTGGGCTCGCGGGCCAGCATGCAGGACTTGATCCTGCCGAAGGCCTCGAAGACGCTCTTGATGTCCTCGTCGGAGAGGTCGGGGTGGACGGACGCCACGTAGATCCTGTTGAAGGCCCGCGCCTCCTCCGCCAGCTGGTCGATGATTGGCTGAGCCTGGCCAATGTTGCTGGGCCGGCCGACCTGCAAGACAGCGCGCAGGGATAAAGATGTGGCGACGTCACATGATCAGCAGCCCCTCCCTGCTGCCGGTGAGGGAGGGGCGTGGCCTCTCAGCGTTCAGATGGCACTCCACTGGGAACGTTGAACTGAACTCAGCTTCCCTAATGATTGGGCTTTGTGTTCTTGGTGTTTTGGTACGTGTGCAGCTGAACTGGTTTTCCTGGTGATTACTGGGAAGGCTGGTTTTCTCTTTTCTAATGCATCGTAATGTCACCAGTTCACCGGTTAACCGGGTGGTTCCTGCTCTGGCCCTTTCCATGGTCAAAAATTCACTGATGGCTAGGCCTGTTGCGATAAACCATAAATCAATTAATCGGACGATAAGTTAAAACTATCGACCTCATTTTATTTATCGGCTATATCGTGTCATCATTGTCAAAACCTGAGAGACACATTAGCCGACAGAAATCCTCGCTATAACGGTTCAATCGAATCGTGTGGTGTCAAAATAATAAACCCAGTTCACTAATATTGGAACCAGGCATTAATCAATTCCTGACTACAATCTACCTGCAATGCATGTGGCTAGTCTCAGTCTGACTGAATGAAAATCATTATAAACTATTTATGTCACCTTAACGAAGAACAGCTGAAAAGTTTCCGGGTTTTCTGGTAGAGATTTCCCTCCAACTCCTCCCCTAGTTATTTATATTTTCTTTGCACAAACTGTTGAATAAACATTCATGTTGTTTCCGATGTCTGCTGGACTTCGGGTTGCATCGTGTCAGCTGTTCGGGATTCCCTCCGTGTTTCCCCTCAGAAAGCAGGAGGAGAATCCGCGCTTTCTGATTGGCTACCGGTCACATTCAGGCTGCGTCACTCTCCCAGTCTGGATAAATCCTTGATTTAGATCGGAGCAACGATCTACCATAACACACAACGATCTACCGTAACACACAACGATCTACCGTAACACACAACGATCTACCGTAACACACAACGATCTACCCTAACACACAACAATCTACCGTAACACACAACGATCTACCGTAACACACAACGATCTACAGTAACACACAACGATCTACCCTAACACACAACGATCTACCCTAACACACAACAATCTACCGTAACACACAACGATCTACCGTAACACACAACGATCTACCGTAACACACAACGATCTACCGT